GAATACCTTGGCGGGCTCCATGACTGTAGACGTTTCAAGAAAGAACTGTTCTGTGGCAATAGTTTTCTTGTGGCGCCCTCATGTGCAAATACACATTTCTAAATTTGCAGTATGAACATAATATACACATTGTTTGCTTTATCATGAAAGGAAACACAACACAGGAACTGCAGCTGTTGTAATATGTGCCCTGTTGAGCTTTCTTATCTATTCAGGATCCTGAAAATTCAATAGGAGGTACTGTACTGTGTATTTCCCACGTATACACCTACAATACAACCAAATGAATATATTATGAACAAGGCAGTAGAGGCCGAGCGAGAAGTGCTGGCACTTGCGCAAAGGTCTGATTTTGGTCGTATGAGATGGACCCGTCCAAAACACGCGCTAGAGGGGTGTCAGCTTCAGTTGGATTGTAGCTCTAGCTGTGTTTAGTTCGGTGAGTCACCGCAGCCGAGGCTGTGCGACCCCCACTACTACTGAACTCCCCTTTCTCGGTTTACACATCGCGCATTTAGGTGTCACGACTACTCGCGCGACCTATACAAATCTTTCCAAATGTGTCATTTGTTACTCGAGGACAGAATGCGGTTCTGTATTGAAATCAGTACTATATTCTGGTCGCAAAATCTCTAGGTAAGAGATCACACAGGAGACCTAGGGACAGATGTTAGGATAATACTTAAATTGATATTGCACAGAGAAGTATGGAGAAAGAACTTCATCACTGGATTCAATTACTTCAGCAAACGTCCAGACTGTGGCTTCTTTGAAGATGGTAATGGGGCTTCAGAATCCATGAAGTCGTGAATTTCTTTATGAACTGAGCAAATACTAACTTCAAAGAAATGTTTCATGCTATTCAATTTGTTAGTTAGTTAGTTAGTTATCTGGCTATGTCTTTATATATTAATTTTGGTGCGCATTCCTGTTATAAATACATGTTTTACTTCCGGTACCAAAACTACGCAATATTAAACTGAGTTAACTTATATTTATACTGAATAAATTGTTTACGTGTTATTTATCGGCGATGTCAATAGCTCAGAATACAGAGCATCGAATGGGAGGATGATAGTGAAAAATGAGTTGGAAAGGATGTGGAAGGAAGCGATGGTGGCGAAACTTGTACTATCCCGGCGTTTGCTGAATGCATTATGCCTCTAAGACACAATGGCAATCACAATAAGCACAAGACGAAAGATAAGAGGGTACGCTGAAAGACTTCATACTGTAAGACAATATAAATGTAAAATTAACATGGAACCCAGTAAGAGACATGCCTACAGTTTAGTAGTTAATTCATGAGCAGTCCATATTTCCGCACTTGGTTAGTTTCTGAAATTCCTATATCTGCTGCCACAAACAAAGTATGACAACAGTAGAAACGAAACTTACACAATAGCGCATTTAAATCCCGCATCCCTTGTGAATGCTCGCTGACGAGGAAATGTGTCTTGTTAAGGAACAATGCAATGCGGCTTGCCTACTTTGGGATGTTTTTTGGTCCTCACCCAGAGCTCGAAAGTACCTGGGCCTCATCGAAACATGTGTCGTGTCCTTGCTGACACAGCAATGCGTCTGGATTAGCTCTACACGTCCGACAAGAAAAAACAAATTTAGACGGATAAACAACGGCTAACACTAACAAATAGTCTATATCGTGTCCACTAATCAAAATATGTCTTTACCGATACATCACTCAGGGTCCACTGAGCAGGTTAGTGTATCGGCGTATTCGAGAAGAACTTGGTTCTAATCTTATTCCGGATATCTGCCGTCAGGAGGATGCGTCTTTTTAATTCTTTGCACAGAACGACGACATTGTAGGTGTGTCTCAAAACAACTACAAACTCTTTCCAAAAACATACATTTCTATTCATAACCATCCTTCATCCCATGTAAGGCCTTTTGTAAATCCTGATCATAAAACAGCGTTTTCAAAGCCCTGACTATGTAGTGTCGTACGATGGGATCATTAGTGAATAATGATTTGGAAAGGAAGCGATGGTGGCCCAATTTAAGGTATATCCCATCTCCCTGGAGACACCGAGAGCAACCACGAAAAAACTTGTGTCAGGCTAACCGGTCTCTGGACCGAGATCTGAAACCGGGACCCCTCCAAATACAAGCAAATCACTCGACTGTGGCTTTCGGTCTGAAGCGGTAACTTGTTAAAGCCGAATGGTATTCATGTATACCACCTGTTTTACGTTAAAACTCTGAATTTTGCACATAAAATGTGTTTATGGGTTTCGTATTCCAAGAATAAACAGTAATTATTTCCTCAAAAATTATTAACCGTTTAATCTTTGTAATGGTGATGGTGATGGGATGTTTTCTTTGCACTACGAATTGAATTTTTTTTAAATATTATTTAGACGAGTTTCAGACAAAGTGTTGATCTAAACTCCACATAGTGCAGGAATTGTTTTCATTTTTTATCGTGTGAAGGCCAAAGGCATGAATGGCATTCTGTTCAGTAAAGTATAGTTACACTTTCGTGATACAGCCACAAATGGATTTGCTGTTTCTGGACTTCTCCCTTCTCTGTTAAGTGACACTAAGCGTGCCTTTCCCAGAACGTCGAACTATACAAGTCAATTATGCGTTCTCCAGTAGCTCCTGGTAAATAATCTTATCTGCTGCATGTGTTAAACGAAGTAACCTACCTCATCTTGTTTGTGGTTATGTTTAGAGGTGTGGTCTACTGCAGGTCAGTTCACCCCAACAATACAACCTCATGGTTGGCTTCGTCTCTGGAGGAAGCAGTTGAGATAGTCAGAAATCACGCCAAGCTGACTCGTTTTGAAACACAGTAGGTATGAAGGAAAACAGATTTGCTTCCATTGTAAAACATTCTTCGTTGGGGGAGTGAAGCTATTATAATTCTGTTCTGGTGGACTGAACGTTTTGAGTCGTCAAATTGAAATGAGAAGTCATATGTACGACAGCTTCAGTTAGAAAGAGGGACAATTTTTTTTTCGTTTTGTAAGATACATTCCAAATTTTAACATTGTATCAATATGTAATAAAGTTGTCAGTCAAACTGTCAGCTGTGGGTTGTCTCAGCTGTTCTTTTCACTCTTATAAATATAAAAACAGTTCTGATCCGTTTCATTGTGTCGGTATAACAGGACGCATTGTGTCCTTAGGGTTTTCAATGGGGTGACCGGATTTTTGACACAGGAGTAGCAGTCTAACATTTGAAGGCGGAACTCAGAAAGATCAACTGCTGTTTATTCTAACATTTTTAAATTATTATTCATACACTTTATAAAACTTCAGCTTTGGACACAACAGCTGATCGACTACACTTGGCTGAATTGGCTGTAGAACTATGACCACTCGTTTCCAGAGTACATAAAACAAATCTCTTGTAGTAACGTACTTGTCTTCTGCTTCTGATGAGGTCTATGTGCCAGAGATACTCTGTTCTGTCTAGCCGTTTTCGTTTCAAATTTCAGGATAAAGATGTCGTAGTACTGTCAGCAATCGAAAACTCCAACTTCAAGGCCCGCCATTTTAAATCTACAAAATGGTCACTTATAAAAGTAAAAATTCAGGTAATTTAAAGAAGGATTAAATAACAGATTCATCACTATAAGCTGGTGACAGGAATCGATTAAGTGTTGTGAGTCTCAAACCTGTTCTCCGGGCTCATTCTACTAGGCGTACAATTACGTCTACTCTACATAACAAAGGGACCTGGCCTTTCTAGAAAGAGTAAAGCGTTCTCGCTATTGACACCGACAGAATGACTCTTCTACGCAGCAAGAGGCAGTCTAAAGGAAATTTCATGCCTGTAAACATCAGGCACAGACAAAGAGAACTCATTACCACCGCCTTGTCGCCAACATCCTTCTTTTATTCACACTTCTAAGGATTAAGATGCATTTTCCACCGAACTGAAAAGACACAGTGGGCGTTCAAACGATTACAGTGAGGCAATGGTTTATAAACAGTCGCTCGCAGGCCCAAATCGATGGGCAGACTTAAGTTTCTCAATCTCCGCCTAATTTAAGTAAAATTCTTTCGGGATTTACGTCACCATGCATATTTTCCTTCGTATATTTATGGCGAGACTAAAAAAAACTGTATACCCCTAATTATTAGACCTATAACTTACTATGGAACTATTCATTTCTGAAAATAATTTTCACAACAACACTGATGCAGGCAAACTGTGACTGAAAGCTGCGATGTAAATATTAACATACGTGTAGAATTTCAGAGTATATTTATTAACTATCCCCATACTAAATTTCAGATGTTTAGTTATTCGTTGTCTCCCTCAAACCGGAAGCAACACACGACGTCACACTTTAGACAACTTTAAGACTTTATTGCGCCGGGTTCTGTTGCCTCCAACTGAAACGATAGGTCTCCGAATACAGGCAGGTAACGTGGAATGTTACCACGTGTCTCGTAGGCATCACGAATGTCGTGTTTTCGATCTCATTCCAATCTGACAATCGTGACTATAACATTTTCATGGTTATCTTCAGTCAATTCAGAAGCTTCTGATACGGTAGCGCAAGCTGTGACCATCTCTCCACCAACAACAGCAATTCATCATAATCATCAACATTCAACCGTCATCCTACTAAAGTCAGAATGAAACAGTACGGCGCTGGTGAATGACGATTACTAGCACTTGTCATGCACCGTAATGCTAAAACATTTGTTCAACCCATAGCAGGATTAATCATTCACATACATTTTTGCAGGTTTTAAGTCTTTTGTGCTTACTAAATATTAATTCTCATCACTAGCAATACGTTTTACTGTAGACATTCCAACGTCACGAGCCTTAATATTAAGGCTAGCCAACTTGGTGCACTGGAGGGTGGTAAAGAGCACTGTTGTTTGCGAAGACAGATTTACGCTGATTGGTTTATCTCTCACCACGTGGTACGACACTACTTAACATCAATCCCTAACTTGTCCGTTTCCATATGTTTAGAATATAGCCATAAACAAATGTAAGAAGTACTCACCATCCCCTCGCGAAGATAACGTATGGCATGAATTGCTGATCCCCCGTTTAAGGACATCTGACAGGTACATCCAGGATATTTGGGTTCAAAATTCACTCTGAAACGGAACACATCAAAAATGAAGAAGCAAGGTAGTAACGCAAATGAAGGATACACATCTTGAAACTTTTTTAACTTTCCTTCCTTATTCGATAAAGAAAGCATCATGTCTCTATTTGTCTCAGCTAATAACGTTTGTAAAACTTGGTGTGAATATCATGTCACCGAAAGCTATTCAACTTTTGTACTTTATATTTTAGTACAGCCAGGAATACCATCACCATGAAGGTACAACATTTTCAGACGCAGACGTCTGTGTTAAGTCTTCAAAAAATTCCGTGAAACAATAAGACGTCTGGGCGCTATCAAGAATTTCGTTTGCATTTCGGCGATAATTAATGAAGAATTCGAACTAGGCATACAAAAATTAGAATTGAGATAAATCACAAGCAGACCTAAGAATTTTGTACAAGCCTATATTAATTTTCATGTATTAAATACTGCAATTACGGGGATGAGAAATTCATTGGAGTAATATCATTCAAACTGAGCTTCGTGGAAGACTTTGATAGAGGGAATTACCGAAATACGTCGCATAATTATAAATCTATAAATTCCATTCATCGTGCGGATTAAAAAATAAAGCAGATTAGGCGTCATAAGTTCTTCACAGGACTTCTTGTTCGAGTTTCATAATGAACTACAAAGTGAAGAATCACCACTTAGATTCCATTGATACGTAAATTTTAAAACATGAATACCATTTTCCTCGTCGTTAAAAATGTCTGTTTCTTAGCTTTGGTCTATATCTGGACACGTGGGAGCTGCAAGTTCCAATCCTTTTTGCAATTTACTCTTTCTTTCTGTCACAATAATTTCCTCACCCGAAACTTCGCCATATCGTGTTAATATTTTTATTCTTCCCGGCGTAACTCTCTTTCGTCTTACCTATCAGTCGTAATGCAGTTTATTGGCCACAGAGTAAGTAACTGAAGCGATTCCACTTAAGCTACTCAAAAGCAAAATATTCATGGGTTAGCAAATCTCGGCAACAACATGTCTCGCTACAGGATGAAAGATAGTTACATTATTTCAGAAAAATACTTCACTGTCTTCTGGGTTGTTGCGTCTTGTATTCAGGTAGAAGTTTACCAACGTTTCAGAGGTCCTTAACGCCTCCATCACCAGGAATCGCCCTGACAATGAAGACCTTTAAGCGGTCCAAAAACTCAGAAGACAGTGAAAGATTATTAAAGGATACCGGTAACAAATATCTCAATAATAACTTATTTTATTTGAAAAAGTTTGAAAGAGTAGGCATAGCGTAAAATCCACTTTAGTAATTTATTATGACACTTTAGTATATTGTCCTCATTCATAACCATGTAGCCCGCGAGATGGCGACGAAGGGTAAATGCAACCTCATATCCGGGAAACGTAAAGAATTCCTGGTAAAGTCTTGCTCATGAACAATCAAGAACTGCTCTGAGTGAAGGGGCCGAATCCGCTGTTCGTCTCCCCCCCCCCCCCCCCCACACACACACACACTGTCCATTCTTCGTTTCTGCGCAACGAAGGTCAAGGCACTAAACGATAATCCCATCGAAAATGAATGAGTCGACAGTTGTACAGAAATACAGAGATAACAGAAGACTGTCAGAAGGTAAGCATATACAGACCTCGCTTTTGAACTACTTCAGCGATAAGTAACACTCGTGTGTAACGGAAGAGACCACTTGAATTTCCAATGGACAGAAATGCAGACAACTCTTTTCGCCTTTTGGTAGATCTAAGCATTGAGCTTTTAGATACAAATGAGTAGTTGGGAAATACATTTGCAAAATTTCGCTTCATTTGTTCGCTTAATGGGAAATACTTTTCTAGGAACATGAGACGCTTTGAGTGCCTTTTTCTTGTCTCCACTGAGGGCAGTACGTTCATACGTGATATAATGTCCTATGAGAATTTATGAAATACGCATCAGCATATACGAGGTGCGATCGGAAAGTTTCTAGACTGCGCCTATAAAAACCCGTACACTTATCTCAGGTATTAAATTCATCCATCACCCTCGAAGTAGTTCCCCTGGGAGTGAACACAACGAT